GAAGGAGAAACCTGAACCATCACATATGACCCCCCACACACCTGCTGGAACACTGCTGCTGGCCTGTGGATGCACAGAACATGACTTGCTGAATAGATTCAGTGATCCCAAGAACTGTCCTATTATTCTCTTTTAACATGACTAATGTGCTTATAACAACCCACAGCACGCTGTGTTTATACCAGGGCTGTCAAAGTTCTGTGCACCCTTGAGGTCAGGAAAAAAGGTGTAGTCAACCTCAGGAGATGGGTTCAACTTTGTGACAGGTCCAACCCTCTTCCACCCAAAGAGGAGAAGCTACTGATCTTTTGACCATCCCCATCAATACATGATGCAATGAAAGCCAAATCTATACCCCGCACAAATCTTGCTACTCTGATGAAGAGAATGAATAATCTTCCTTCCTCCTCACAGCCCTCTTTTCCCCTCGTAAGTGCAGTCAGGGAAACCCCTCTGATTTTCTCAGATGTGCCTGACATCTGAGAGATCTGGCATGACAGCAAAGGGAAACATACTAACCAATGCCCCAGCCCTGCTACACCAAATCATCAGACGCTATAACCATCCAGCACCAGTGTTAGTGAAGCTCAGAAGTCAGCTTACCGTGGTCTGCTCTGGCGTATTTCAAGAAGGTACTTAACTCTTTTGGAAGTTACACGAAAAGGGTAAAAATTAACTAAGAAAATTACTATCCTCTTTTTAATCCTTCTTCTACAATAGAAGCAAACTCTCAACATGCAAATATTGTTTCATGCCTCCATTTCTGCATTTTAGTCGTTGCCAACTCATCAGTTTCTGAGTTGATGATGCCAGGTTGTATGCTGGACATAGAGCCTCTGTCATGTGTGGGAACCCACTCAAGTCTACTTTCATTAAGACACTGAACTGCAGAATTTTAAACAATGCAAGAGACTAGAGGAGAGGCTGAGGGTGGCCTGGGACAGTCAAGAAAGAAAACCCAGAAGAAGTGAGGCTTGGCCTGGCAAGAGGAATTCCAGGCCAAGGGTGGGAGAAAAAAGAAAAGAATTCCAAACACACACAGTTCTGTACCCCAAGGTCTTACTAGGGATTCTGAACCTGGCCTTTCCAACGATGGTCATGGGAGTTTAAGGACATAAAAATAACAAATCTATGAAAAAACAAGTTTTTCTCAGAATAAGATCCATGAAGCCCAACAATGTTACTGGTAGGAAACCCTGGAAGTGGAGGACTGCAGAAGACAGGATAAAGAACTGTCAGTTGTCTCCAACAGAAAGCAAATTCTGAACAGACTTGGCAGTTGGCAAACCTGAATTCCAGTGTGCACTCAATTCAGAGTCTGGGACTCCAGACAAGTTTCTTAACTCCTCTCGAAGCCCTAGTTTCCTCATTTTTAGAATGAAGATAACAATACGTAAGTCATCAGATTAAAGAAGGAACACATGTGAACCACCTAGTTTAGTAGCTGACATACAGATGTTCCATAAGTGGTGACTATTACTATAATCACATTTCTAAAAGTATGAAAAATTGCCCAGTTAGAGGTAAGTGAGGTACGACTACATTGCAGTGTCTTTCGGGAAAGTTCAAGAGTCTGACCGGTTTCCTACTTCAATACGCTACATTTTCTCCTGGTAGATGCTTGGGCTATGAAAATAAAGGTGACATGGTAGGTGTCTGGCTTACTTGCAAAGAGCAGGACACTCTTTGTGGTGCTGCTTTTCTTTTTTTTATTTTTGAGACGGAGTTTCGCTCCTGTTACCCAGGCTGGAGTGCAATGGCGCGATCTCGGCTCACCGCAACCTCCGCCTCCTGGGTTCAAGCAATTCTCCTGCCTCAGCCACCCGAGTAGCTGGGATTACAGGCACGCGCCACCGTGCCCAGCTAATTTTTTGTATTTTTAGTAGAGACTGGGTTTCACCATGTTGACCATGATGGTCTCGATCTCCTGACCTCGGGATCCACCCGCCTCGACCTCCCAAAGTGCTGGGATTACAGGCGTGAGCCACCGCGCCCGGCCTGTGGTGTGCTTTTCTAACGAGCACACTGCACCTTCCTAATTAAGTGGAAAGAGTTACCTTATTCAGTCTAGGAGAATGACAAAAATTGTTGATTATTTGCTTGGAATTAACCCACTCCATATTCTGCCTACAGAGTTTGAAATTCGGGCTGGCAAACAATTTATTCAACCAACTTTTTGTGAATGTTCTTGTACTAGACACTGCAATGGGTACTTTCAGGGTCTCTTAATCCAGGAGCAAAAGGAAAACTTCAGTCTGGCATGTCCTAGATGCTTTACTTGCACAATTGCAATGAATCCTCACAGGTCTGTAAGAAAGACTCCATGTAATCCCAGCACTTTGGGAGGCCGAGACGGGTGGATCACGAGGTCAAGAGATCGAGACCATCCAGGTCAACATGGTGAAACCCCATCTCTACTAAAAATACAAAAAAATTAGCTGGGCATGGTGGCGCGTGCCTGTAATCCCAGCTACTCAGGAGGCTGAGGCAGGAGAATTGCCTGAACCCAGGAGGCTGAGGTTGCGGTGAGCCGAGATCGCGCCATTGCACTCCAGCCTGGGTAAGAAGAGCGAAACTCCGTCTCAAAAAAAAAAAAAAAAAAAAGACAAGACTCCATCCCCTTTTCTAAGGAAAAGGAAAGAGAATTAAGTTTTTTTTCATCCTTTCACTCATTCTTTCATTTATTCATGTTTTCAAATCAAACATCCTTTAGGCGTTTGTAAGGTATTAACACCTAAAGCAGGTGTCATTGAAATAATACAAACTACCAAGGGGTAAGATTAATTTTGAATGCAAAGTTTGGGAAGACGTCTATAAGGGAGTTAATCAGCTGGGCTAGGAGATGTACAAAAGAATCAGGAGCAGGACAGGGATCCTCAGCAAGCCTGGGGTTCAACCTGACAGCCACAGAGGTAGAAGAATGTCTGCTGCATCTTCTGAGATTGGGGAGCGCTTTGCTCGGAGGATGGGCAGGTAAATTAGGGTGGGGCAGGTGCAGTGAAGAACAGAGGTAGGCCGGCACTGAACCGTAAGGAAGTTTAAATGTCAAAGTCAGGAGTTACTTTTGTTAATTATATTAACTCCACATAACGTGTGGTACTAAGAAACCTGTTAAGGGGCAGGTCAAACACAGATAAGAAAAAAGAAGTAGGGTCTTAGATACAAAGCCAAGCCCGTGTGGTACTGACCTAGGTTCAAGCTCCAGACCTCTTACTGACACTGCAGCTATTTTTTTCTTTCTACCGAAGCAGACAAGCTCCTTCTTGCCTTAGCTTATCATCCTTGCGGCCAACCTTTACCCTTTCTCCTTCTCTTCACAGGACACTGGTAATTAGGAAAAAATGTAGATTCTGAGGAAATTCAAAGAGTGTTGGTGAGGGAGGGAGAGGAAATGTGATGCAACCCCATGAGCCTTAGTCATGCAGCCGATGTGAGGTCACCATTTACCATTTCAATCCAGCCGCGTCAGCCGCTGCTTCTGTCTGACTAGCAGCCATTTACCCCTCTCTCCCAGGAGTTCTGAAAGGCCCTCTATGTGTTCCTTTGTGTAACGTAAAGGGCACTCTGACTTCACATTTATGATCTTGGTTCAATCGGATGCCATCTTATTCTCTGTTGGGCCTGGCTGAACTTTTGACATCAACTTTCTTCCCTCAACAACAACCCCCACTTCCAACACAAACACACACACACACACACACACACACACACACACACGGCCAATATGTTCTAACTAGAAAGCATCTGAGTTCACAGAGCCGTTTTCCTTCACTTCACTATCCTCATGCCCTCACCCTAGACAACTGGGATTTTTTTCTCCATTCCATTCTTTATCTTGGTTCAAATGCCTCATCTCTCCTAAAGAAGCCAGGGACCAGTCATTCATGTCAGGCTCAGAGCTCTCTCCACACCCTACAGCATCATTCTTCCCACCGCAATCCTTGCATACGCCCACCTGGCCATATGAGTGGCATTCTTAACGGTTCATTTGGCTCTTAAAACGTATTCCACATTAAGTAATATCCATATGTTGACTTGTTGCGAGAAGAAGGTAAACAGTTGAAGACATCAACAAAAAATCAGGTGAGGGCAGAAAGGAGAGACAGTGAGTGGCCCCTTAGGTGAGCTGAGTTCAGGTAAAAGTTACACTTGGGCTGTGTTCAAAGTTGCCCACTCATCCACGGCAGCTGCGCAAAGACAATTAACTTGTAGCCATTATCCAGCCGCATTTACCAGGCGCTCAGTCTTGTGGGAGGAGGGTAAGGCAGTAGGGGATGTGGAGTATTGGTGTTATCCTACAGGTTAAGGACAAATATGCCCGCTACAAGAGCAGGGATACATCACCGACTTCAATTCAGCCCAGGGTCCATGTAGCAAGGGGTGAGTGAGTCACTCCTGTGGGGGAGGCTGGTGGGGTTGGGGGTGGCGGCTGGTGGTTAAGAAAATGGAAAATCGTGGAAAGTCCCACAAGAAGTGGTAATCGATTCCCGATGTGTGGCCATAATGTACACTGGCCATAAGGTATATTCGGCGCCTCTGCGTCGCTGCTCCCCCTCAACCTTTTACTCACCCTCTGCTCCCAACACGTGCCTCACCCGTGCTTCCAGGGCGTCTTCTCGAGGTGCATGCAGGTCCAGCTCTGCCCACCACCCGTCCACCTGCCGACACGGACCCTTGTGGTCGGAAGGCCTCCCGGGGCTAGACGGCGACTCCTCCTGGGCTGCGAGCTGCGGCGCCTCCCTCCACCCGCCCGTCCTTATTGTGTCATTTGCCCTGTCTGATGGCAGCCCCAAGCCGCTCCTCTGAGTGGGCTCGAATGGAGAAGAGAAGGGAGGCACACACTGCATTCACCAGGACCCAAGATGACCTGCCGCCTCTCTCCTGCCCCTCCTCGGTGCCCCCCACTCCCCCTCAGCCCCAAGGGGGGCTGGGAGCGCGGACAGTCAAGGCAAGAAGGGCGCAGTCCGTCAAGGTCCACAGCTGCACACAAAGCCCTTCACCTTCTCCTCGCCTTCCAAGCTCCTCCCTGGGCTTCGCTTTTCCGAGGGTCTCTGATGCCCCCTTCGGTGGCCGGCGGGACGGTCCGATTCCCTCTCGCATCGCTGTCTCCTCCCTCAGGTCTCAGCCTCCTCCTCCCCGCCCCTCGCCTCACAGCCCTGCGGGAGCTCAGCCCCGGCTCCGGGGGCGCGAGAGCACCCCACGAGCCCGGGCCCCTGCGCCCCAGGGGAGCGGACAACGGTCCGTTTTACAAGGCACAACTTCGCCCAGCCGTTCCGCCACCGCACTCGGAACACACACCCCGACCCCGCGGCGGTGGGGTCCGGTCCCGACCAGCCCCATCCCCGGGAGGCGGGCGAGCCCAGCCACAGCCACGCTCCTACCTGCCCGGCGTGGCTGGCGCGGCGGGGAGCGAGCGCACCGCGCGCCCCGGCCCGAGCCCCGCACCGCGGCGCGTCTCTGCCCTTGCGCGGCGCTGGCTGCCCGGCTGCCCGGCTGACCCCTCACTGGGGCTTCCTGTAGGGCTGGACAAAGGACATTTCCTGGGAGGAGCGGAGAGCGTTCCCAGCATGCCTCGATTTGTAGTTCCCGGGGACTTCCTGCCACTGCGGCGGCGGGCGCCCTGGAGGTGGCTCGGCCGGGCTGGGACCCGGGGACTCGGGGAAAGGCGCTCGCGGCTTCCCTAAGCGCCGTGGGGACGGGAGCGGCCTGCGGGGTCCTGCTCCGCGCCCCGCCCGCCCCCGCGGCGCTCTTGGATCCCGGCACCCGGGAGGACGCGAGACCCCCGCGCTCGCGGCACTGGTTGTCCCAGGGTGCGGGAGGGCTCTGCGGTGGGCGAGGCCCTTTCTCTAACAATCGGGAAGTTTGTGATGGGGCCCTTTTTAACAAATCCATCTAAATAGATAAAATCTGTCTTTTAACATAAATTTTCTTTTTGTCTTTGAAGCCATTGGCATCCTGCTTGGGGCGGATGAAAGAACTTGACGGCCCACCCGGAATTCAGGTTCCTTAAGATCTTGCTGCTTCATCCTTAAAACCACACAGAGCTGATTGTGACCAGATCCCGACCCGGTGACATTCCTCCCTCCGTTGTTGGCCTCCTCCCAATTTCTTTTCAAGAAAAGCAATTAAATTGAGATTGAAAATAAATTCCGTAAATTAAATATTAGACGTGAAAACCTGTGTGCTGCTGAGCTAGGATCGCGCTGGACTTTCTGCCTTTAAGATGCAGCCTCGTTGGTCCTATACAACAGATGTGAGGGCCACTGTATATTGAGTGTGTGTGTTTTGGGAAGTGGAAGGGTGAGGGTAAGAGGACATTGGCTACAGGAGAGGAAGTCCACTTCCAGCCTAGCGAGGGTCTATGATGTCCTGCACACGTTTTCGTGTATTTCTGGGACCACGTACTCAGGACTCTTAGAAAACCAAGGAAAGACCACACAGAGTCTAAATGACTAAAAGCTGTATTGTCTTCAGGAGCATGAGCAGACTGTAGTAAACTGAGCTAGGAAAGGACAAGTTCTAGGATGCTCTAGAATGTGTTTGAAAAGTAATCAGAAAAGTCTCTGGGCTTGGTGGCTCACACTTGTAATCCCAGCACTTTGGGAAGCCGCGATGGGAGGGTCACTTGAGTCCAGGAGTTCAAGACCAGCCTGGGCAACATAGCGAGACCCTGTTTCTACCCAAAAAAAAAATTATAATAATAATAGCAGGTTTGGTGGCGCCTCCCTGTAGTCCTACCTACTCAGGAGTTTAAGCAGAAGGATCCTTTGAGACTGGGAGTGCGAGGCTGCCGTGAGCCGTGATTGTACCTCTGCACTTGACAGATTGAGACTCTGTCTCAAAAAAAAGAAAGTCGTAGTTACCTGTCATCTCTGCTTGTCATTTCACATTTTAAATCCATATGAATCAGAACATTTGGGTGAGGGGTTTAGCTTACATTTAAGTAAAGTTGATCCACTAGGAGAATACTACAGTGCTTTTTCTCTAGAGATCCTTAACCAGAGGGATAATATGGACTGGAATAAAATGTAGAATTGATGAGAAACGTGCAGATAGGACTGTCTACCTCCCAAAAGTCCCTGTTGTATGCCCACCTGAAAGGTCGTATTCTATGCCTGCTCTGTTGACTGTCGCCTAAGTTAATTTCGCTGTGATCCTTGCATTTTCTGGACCCTACAAATTTCTGCTCCTTCACATTCTCAACCTGGTAATGTCCCAGCAGAACTACCCCCCCAATCTCCTCCCCAAAGAATTGATTATTGTTTGGCAAACCAAGTAGCCTCTAATGGTGTTCACTTTGAAAAACATGGCCTGCTTGCTTGTAGCATTTAACATGTAACATTGCCCACTATGGCCCCGTTGAAGCTATTTTTTGCCTTGCTTTTAATACAACACACTCTCCTCCTTCTACACTTCTAACTTAAGCTCAGGATAGTTAAAATGTCACTAACCCACCCCATTCCAAACCTGTCCCTTCTTCTTGTTTCCAACCCCAGTCACTTCGTTATTTCAGCGAGTTTTATTTAACACACGTGATTCATGCTAGTCTTCATGCCTGGAGTAGACATGTGACATTCAGCAGTAACTACCAGCTATGTCTGACCCCCAAGAAGCCCACACTCCAGTTGAAAAGACAGACTTCACACAATTACTTCACAGTGTTTAGGGGCTACAATGTTGCCTTGTACCTCTCTAAAAATGGTGGTCTTTCCGTAAGGTTTCTGCTCTGGTGAGTGGTGGGAGTGGATAGGAGTGGCCAGCGGAAGGCTGGGAGGGACTGAATGCGAACGGTAAAGAAGACAAGTAGTGTGTGAAATTTGGTTGTGAATGGGGTGGTAGCTGAGAAGGAAGTGGGATCAAAGGACATTTTTCTGTTTGTGGTGGTTTTATTTGTTTGGTTTTTAAGATGAGAGATCCTTGGGAATGTTTAAAAGCTGATGGGAAAAAGTCTTGGAGAGAAGCAGAGGGTAACAAGGAGGAGAGAGAAAGGAAAAAAAGAATTCTTATTCAACAAATACCTGTTGAATTAACTAATTCCTGCAACTTAGTGTTGAAAATGTTGAGAATGAAATGAACAAATTGCACATTCCCAGCTAAGATATGCAAAGTCTGAGACCAGAAGGAAATGGCATTTCTTTCCTCCTGTCATGTGTTCCCTCCTGCCCTTGAGGCCCTCAGGGGAAGGTGAGACAAGTGAATAAAAGGAGAAAATGGAGGCTTCCTCCACTGTTGAAGATGAAGTCTTTGCCGAGTTGACAGTATGTTGGAAAGGCACCCCGCAACTTCAGAAAAGTCTAAACTTTCAAGCTGTGGATTTTTGTTTTATTTTTTATTTATTTTATTTATTTATTTATTTATTTATTTTTTTGAGACAGAGTCTCACTCCATCACCAGGCACCAGGCTGGAGTGCAGTGGCACAATCTCAGCTCACCGCAACCTCCGCCTCCTGGATTCAAGCAATTCTCCTGCCTCACCTTCCCGATTAGCTGGGACTGCAGGCACATGCCATTACGCCCAGCTAATTTTTTTGTATTTTTAGCAGAGACAGGGTTTCACCATGTTGATCGGGATGGTCTCGATCTCTTAACCTTGTGATCCACCCGCCTCGGCCTCCCAAAGTGCTGGGATTATAGGCTTGAGCCACCGTGCCCGGCCTTTTATTTTATTTTTAAACTAAAACAAAAAAAATTTTTTTTTGCCCTTGCCCTTTTCTTCTTCTTCACCACTTTGAGGCAAAGTAGGTAATCATTCTCATCCTCATCTTTCAAACAAAGGGTTGAACCTGGACAGATGTGCTTCCATTTTGTAAGCTTCCAGCTATAAAACGGATGACCTCTGCTGATTCCCCTTAACCTAGCAAGCATCCATTTCCCTTTTTTGGGTAACGGCACCTTTGGGAAAGAACCTCCTTTCCACGTTAGGTCTTGGGGTTTAGAGTAGGGCAGAGCCCATCTTCACCTCCGCTTCGTTGGTAGACAGTGTTTAAGACCCAGCAGTTAGCTGATTCGGTGCTGTATGAGGGATGAGCTATTAAAGGGAGCGAAGCTGAGAAAAGGGGTGTGGGAAGGGATGTATGCATCAGCAAATTGTTATGGCCTGTTTGATCATGCCTGAAGCCAAGGTACCCTCAGACTTTTTAGTTACAGGAGCCAAAACATTCCCTTTTGGGCTTAAGCTATTTTGAGTTAAGTTCTATCTCTTGCAGCCAAAAGGATTCTTTACAGCTGGAAGTGGGATGCTGTCGCACAGATCCTTAAATGTAAAATTGGCTGAGTTGAGGAATGGTGAAAGTAGGAAAGATCCCTCTGCGCCAGGCGAGGGAACTGGAAACTCTTATGATATGGTTGCCAAGAAACTGAGTCAGAGGTCTCAGACCCCATCACTTCCAGGGTAGAGTCTGAGAGGTCTTGATTGACAAGTGTCAGGGTTTTAGGGAGTTTGGCCGACTTACAGTTTTTATAAATGTTCCAAAGAAAAGGGCAAGCTAATGTTGAAACTTGTCTATGTAGGAGCAGAGAGGAAAAAATTACAGTGTGATTAAAAGATTCCCTTTCTGCCAGTACCCAGCAAGCCCAAATGGTCCGAACTCAGATATATTGAGCCATGCCACGCTGGAAAACTGAAATCCTCTCCCTTTTGCACAGTGACAGCAAAGGCATAAGGTAAAAAACTGATAATAGAAAGACTGTCTCCTGAGTCTACATCAAACTCCTCCTGCTGTGCTGCTCCTGCCTGAGGAAGGCAGGAATTAACCCCATTTTAATTGGGTGACCATACGATTTCTTATCAAAATGGGACAATTCTGAGTGTGAGTATGGGTGCTATTAATAATTATACCTAGATGACAGCCTTAAAACAGGTCACCCTAATTAAAAGAGCTATCCACTAGGACACCACCTTGCATTAAAAGGCCACTCCATTAGTCCTCCTCACCTACAGATAGTTATTTCAAGTCGCCCCAAGGCAGAGGCCAAGAGGGTGGCTGTTAATCTGAAGACTGTGGAAATGAATCAGCTCTAAGGCTTTTCCTTACAAGACAGAAACTCCCAGGGGACAGGGTCTGGAGTGCAGACAGACTCCATACCTCTGAAATACAAGGGCAGGCAAGCTAAAACAATTCAGTCCCCAGCCAGGTGCGGTGGCTCACGCCTATAATCCCAGCACTTTGGGAGGCCGAGGAGGGTGGATCACGAAGTCAAGAGATCGAGACCATCCTGGTCAACATGGTGAAACCTCATCTCTACTAAAAATACAAAAAATTAGCTGGGCACGGTGGTGCGCTCCTGTAGTCCCAGCTACTCGGGAGGCTGAGGCAGGAGAATT